TTGATGTTGAGTTCCAAGTGCTGGATATATCTGCTACCTATAATCTTTTGTTGGGACGACCCTGGATACACGCCGCTTGGGTAGTGGCTTCTACTTTACATCAGGCTATGAAGTTTGAATGGAATCATCAAGAAGTGATTATCCATGGGGATGGAAGCAACCCCATCTACACCAATCAGACTGTTCCAGTCATCGAGAATAGGAAGAAGCTGGGTGGAGAAACATACCATCGCATTGAGCGAGTCAACGCAATTAAAAAGGATCGATGGTTGAGTAACAAGATAGAAAGCATATTACTACGGACATGATATGAACCTGGCAAGGGTCTCGGCAAAAACTTCCAAGGGATCACCAAACTCGTACAACCGCAGCGTCATGGCACAACTTTTGGGCTCAAATATGAATATACTTGGCAAGAGTACCAGGATTAGAAAAAGAGTACCAGAGTACCTTTCAGTATCAAAAAGGTAAAGAAAACCGNGTCCCCGCCATGGTGTGGTCCTTATTATCGCTGGAACAACCAGTACCACCTCTGCACCAGACATTTCATAGAGCTGACATGATGTGGGGATCTAAGGAAGATGAAGTCTTAGCTGGCATGAAGAAACTGTTTCTAGATGAAGAAGATATAGATTGCAGTGCGATAGTTCAGGAGGAGGAGGAAGAGGAAGACCTTACCATTCAGACCATAGGGAAAGGAGCTGTTCTAAAAAACTGGACTGTTGCACCATCCCGGGCCCGTCGAGTTCCTGGGTAGCTTGGCAGATTAGCATCAATTATTTTTAAGTATTTGAGACATTTTCAGTATTTTGTTTTGAAATAATTGCTCGAATCATCGAGTCGCATTTGGTAAAGTTTGAAAGATTTCAATTAATGCATTGCTACTTTTTGTATTTACTATTATTCTCAACATTTTCTCTTTTTACAGCATTATTATTACATATCCCGATGAACCTGTGACTGTGACATATAATGAGACAACGCAACATAAGGATAGTGATTCAGAGGACTTGGAAGATGATACGATACCTGAGGAAATCGTAAGAGAAGTGGAAAATTTTAAAAACAAGCCAAAGTCCAATTTGGACGAAACTGAAGCAGTTAACTTAGGGGATTCCGAACTGGTCAAGGAAACACGAATAAGCATTCATCTATCACCATCAGAGAAAGAAGAGTACAACATATTCCTTAAAGAATGTGAAGATATCTTTGCATGGTCCTACGACGATATCACAGGTTTGAGCACATCCATAGTAGCTCACAAGTTACCCACTAATCCTACATGTCCACCGGTAAAGCAGAAGCTCAGAAAATTCAAGCCGAATATGAGTTTGAAGATAAAAGAGGAGGTCACCAAGCAGATCAAAGCCTAGGTTCTTAGAGTGATCGAGTACCCAACTTAGTTAGCCAACATTGTGCCAATTTCGAAGAAAGATGGGAAAGTCAAATTATATGTTGACTACCGAGATCTTAACAGAGCAAGTCCCAAAGATGATTTCCCGTTGCCTAATATACACATATTGATTGACAACTGTGCCAAATATGAACTTCAATCCTTTGTGGATTACTTTGCGGGGTACCATCAGATCTGGATGTATGAGGAGGATGCTGAAAAGACAGCCTTCATCATGCCATGGGGAATATATTGTTATAAAATGATGCCATTTGGTATGAAGAACGCCGGATCCACCTACATGAGAGCCATGAAAACTATTTTCCATGACATGATACATAAAGAGATAGAAGTGTACGTGGATGACGTAATCATCAAATCCAAAAGGAGTACGGATCACATAGCAGATCTGAAGAAATTCTTCGATCGGCTTCGAAGGTGTAATCTGAAACTGAATCCTGCAAAGTGTGCTTTCGGAGTCCCTGGTGGAAAATTATTAGAATTTATCGTCAATCGCAGAGGGATTGAGTTAGACCCATCAAAAGTCAAAGAAATCCAAGACTTGCCACCTCCGAAGAATAAGAAAGATGTGATGAGCTTTTTAGGGCGTCTTAATTACACCAGTCGCTTCACAGCACAATCAACAGTGATATGTGAGCCGATCTTCAAAATGCTGAGGAAAGATGCTGCAACAAGTTGGAATGAAGAATGCCAAAAAGCCTTCGACAAAATCAAGGAGTATTTATCAAAACCGCCCCGTTCTGGTCCCACCAGAGCTAGGAAAACCACTGCTGCTTTATTTGTCCGTACTGGATGGAGCTTTCGGTTGCGTTTTGGGACAACATGATGAAACTGGAAAAAGGAGCAGACAATATATTATTTGAGCAAGAAATTTACACCCTACGAAGGCCAGTACTCTTTGCTGGAACGCACCTGCTGTGCTTTGACATGGATAGTTCAAAAGTTGATGCATTATTTCTGTGCATACACTACATATCTTATATCGAGGATGGATCCACTTAAATATATCTTTCAGAAGACCATGCCTACGGGTAAGTTAGTAGAGTGGCAAATATTGCTGAGCGAGTTTGACATCGTCTATGTAACTCAGAAGGTGGTCAAAGGGCAAGCATTAGCAGATCATCTGGCAGAAAATCCTGTAGACGGAGAATACGAACAATTGAAAATGTATTTTCCCGATTAGGAGGTGTCATTCGTGGGAGAAGATATCACTGAAGCATATGATGGTTGGAGAATGTTCTTCGACGGAGCAGAAAACTTCAAAGGAGAAGGTATCAGAGCTGTTTTGGTATCAAAAACCAGCCAACACTATCTGGTATGTATAAAACTAAGGTTTTTATGCACCAACTATATGGCAGAATATGAGGCTTGCATCTTGGGACTCAAGTTGTCCATTAACATGAATGTTCAGGAGCTGTTGATAATTAGAGATTCCGATCTGTTGGTGCATCAGGGTTTAGGAGAATGGGCTACAAAGAACACCAAAATATTTCCATATTTGCACTGTGTACAAGAGAGGATCAAAAGGTTCACAAAGATAGAATTCAAACATGTTTCGAGAGTTCAAAATGAGTTTGCAGATGCATTGGCCACTCTATCTTCCGTGATACAACACCCAGACAAGAACTTCATCGATCTTGTCCCAATAGGAATTCATAAATAGCCAGCTTATTGTGCTCATGTTGAAGAAGAGAGCGATGGAAATTCGTGGTTCCACGACATCAAGAAATATTTGGCAAAAGGAGATTATCCATAGCACTCTACCCATACTCAAAAGCGCACGCTTTGGAGATTAGCGAACTATTTTTTTCAAATGGGAAGAATTCTATATAGAAGAACTCCTGACATGGGATTATTACGGTGTGTCGATGCCAATGAAGCTTCCAGATTGCTCGAGGAAATACATGCCGGAACCTGCGAACCACACATGAATGGTTTCACCTTAGTCAAAAAGATACTAAGAGCGGGGTATTTCTGGATGACTATGGAAATAGACTGCATCAAGTATGTTCAGAAGTGCCACCATTGCCAGATACATTCTGACATGATAGGGGCACCACCCAATGAACTCAATGCAACAAGTTCACCTTAGCCTTTCTCGGCTTGGGGTATGGATGTCATTGGCCCAATCGAGCCCGTCGCTTCGAATGGGCATAGATTTNATCGGCCTGATCGAGCCCGTCGCTTCGAATGGGCATAGATTCATTCTAGTGGCCATAGACTACTTCACAAAATGGGTTGAAGCCGCATCTTACAAAGCTGTAACTAAGAAGGTCGTAGCAGATTTTATTCGGGACCGCATTATTTGTCGGTTTGGAGTACCAGAGTCAATCATCACTGACAACGCTACGAACCTCAACAGTGATCTGATGAAGGCCATGTGTGAAACCTTTAAGATCAAGCATAAGAACTCCACATCATACAGGCCGCAAATGAACGGCGCCGTAGAAGTCACCAACAAGAACATCAAGAAGATGCTGAGGAAAATGGTAGATAATTACAAACAATGGCACGAGAAGCTGCCATTCGCTCTGCTCGGATATCGTACCACGGTTCACACATCAACTGTGGCAACTCCTTACCTATTGGTTTATGGCACTGAAGCAGTTATTCCTATCGAAATAGAAATCCATTCTTTAAAAATTATACAAGAGGTTGAGCTCAGCGATACAAAATGGGTACAAAGCCGATACGAGCAACCAGATCTCATTGATGGTAAAAGAATGAATGCGGTGTGTCATGGTCAACTCTATCAGAACAGGATAGCAAGATCCTTCAACAAAAGGGTTAGACCGAAGCAATTTACACCAGGGCAATTGGTGCTAAAATAATTCTTCCCACATCAAGATGAAGCCAAGGGGAAGTTTTCACCTAATTAGCAGGGTCCCTATATGGTTCATCGGGTACTGACAGGAGGAGCACTTATACTTGCAGAAATGGACGAAGAGATTTGGCCAAAACCTATCAACTCAGATGCAGTCAAAAGATACTATTTTTAGGATTGTTCACACTTCTTCACTTGATGTAACTGAACTACACTTGACATGATATCCGTTTAAGAGGGGATACGTAGGAAACCCTGTGGGTTAGGTCACATCTTCATAAAATCTTCATTTTTTCCATGATCAGAAACTGGGGAAAGATCGCAAGTTCAAGTCGACATCGTCATGTGTGGAACAGCCGAAAATTATTGTCAAAGTATGCATTTAAACTGGGTAGAATTTTGAGGAGGACCCTCAAAATTCTAAAGCAAGGAGGTTGCAATGTCTCTAAATGTATCACAGTCACCGGTTCATCTAAATTATTTCATCTCACATACTACAATACATTTCAAGCAACTATATTTTTGCAAATAATTTGTCAAATGCATACATATTTTTCGAAAACTTTGTTTGTATGACAACCGGATGCTACCCAATGTAACTCAAACAGGACTGCAATACAAAAGTGAAGGCAAAGCAAGGAGTCAAGAGCACGAACCGACCTTCCCCCCGCAAAGCTCACGATTTTTCCTTGAATGCAGGCACTATAAAACAGCAATATTCGCAAATACATACGCACATCAAATCACTACCTTCATGATGAAAAATTACCAAACGTAAGCACATCCAGCTAAAAAATACTTCACTCTCTCAATGTCACTCATCACTTTTCTTGCATAAGGCTAAGAACTGCCTTTCCTTTGCATGAGACTAAGCCTTGTCTCCCTTCTTTTGCATAAGACTAAGCACTGTCTCCACTTTTTGAGTGAGGCAAAGAATTACCTCTCTAATTGCAAAAAACTAAGCACTGCCTTTCCCTGTATGAGACTAAGCATTGTCTCCCTTTCTTGCATGAGGCTAAGTGTTGCCTCCATAATTGCATAAGGTTAAGCACTGCCTTTCCTTGCATGAGACTAAGCATTGTCTTATTTTCTTGCACGAGGCTACGCATTGCCTTCATAATTGCATAAGGCTAAGAATTGCCTTCTTCTCCATAAGACTAAGCATTTTTTCCCTTTCTTCTATAAGGCTAAGCGTTGCCTCCATAATTGCATAAGGCTAAGCACTACCTTTCCCTGCATGAGTCTAAGCATTGTCTCATTTTCTTACATGAGGCTACGCATTGCCTTCATAATTGCATAAGGCTAATCTTTGCCTTCTTCAGCATGAGACTAAGCATTGTCTCTTTTTCTAGCATCACGCCTCCAAAATTGCATAAGGCTAAGTACTGCCTTTCCCCGCACGAGACTAAGCGTTGTCTATGTATCCTACATAAGGCTAAGCATTGCCCTTTCTTTGCATAGGACTAATTATTGTCTCCACTACACTGCATAGGGCTAAACACTGCCTTTCCTAGCGTGAGACTAAACACTGTCTCTGTCCTCTGCATAAGGCTAAGCACTACCTTTTCTTGCATGAGACTAAGCATTGTCTCCCTTCTTCACATCGGGCTAAACACTTCCCTCATCTCAAACAAGAATACACCTTGCCTTTTCCCATCCCCGCATACAACCAAGCATCACCTGTTTCTTTTATCAAACGATCGATACCGCCATATCTCTACATTTCATAGGCTAAAACATCGCCATTTTTTCGAAGGCCTCATAGTCCGAAGGCACCATTCTCATAGCTGGGAGACAACATTTCATGGCCTGAGGATCTCTCGATACTACATATCATTATTCAAAGGCGTCATTGTCCAGAGGCACCATCCCTATAGCCCGAGGACACCATTTCATGGCCTGCGAATCCCTAATCATGCACTTCATGGACCAGGACGTCATGGTCTAAGGACATCGTCCTCACCGTCCAAAGACAACCTTCATGGTCCAAAGCGAATTTGCATCATGTTTAAATTTTTGCAATAACACATATATATCCACATGTACCGTGTTTTAGGTTTTTCAGGTAACTCGGGAGTAACTGTTCTGCAAACGGGAGCAATCTTTACTGCGGTTTCCGTTCGCAGCGCTCACATCCTTCAATTGCTTCAAACGTAACCGACTATCAATAATTGACTACCTTTTACTCTACGACCGTTCGAATATTTGCCTCATACACTCGTAACATCCAAAAGTCACATACATGACCCCATCAAAATTGCCCGTTACTTACAACACTATCCTACCCAAAAGAACCTTTTCGAAACATATGACCATTCTTATAACAACTCCATCGGTTTCGCTCATCGTTAGATCCAGAACTACACACAGCTTGATTCCCGTAACACTAGGGATATGTAGGCAACTCAGATACCCAGGGTTCGGCCCCCATTTTTAAATCACATCATACCCCATTCAACTCGGCCAAAGTTGGTCATCATTTTCTTTACCCGACAACTCTTTCATCATTCCGGGGTAAAGAGGGACAGCTGTTGATAACCAATTTTGCCCTCATATTTTTTTAAAATAGTATATACTCCCTCCGTTTCAATTTATGTGAATCTATTTCCTTTTTAGTCTGTTCCAAAAAGAATGACCTCTTTCCTTATTTAGAAACAATTTACCTTTATGCAATGATTTATAGCCACACAAAATATATGTGGCTTATTTTACACCACAAGTTTAAAAGTCTTCTTTATTTTCTTAAATTCTGTGCCTAGTTAAATGGGTTCACATAAATTGAAACGGAGGGAGTATATACTTTCAAAATGTCATCTTTGCGTCATTATTTAATTTATAAGCATTTTTTATAATTTTTCATAATTTTTAGAGCTTTAAAATTAATTTTGTCGCATTTAAATTTCTTGAATATTTACTAATTATTTCTTTAAATTATTTGTGATGATTTAGTCATCACAAAAAAATTATTATTTGCATCCACATATATGTTTTAAATATTTTTA